TCGCTAAAAGTTAAAAATAATCAACTAAAAGTTATTATTTTTTATATTATGTAGTATCCATCTCTTTAATAATAAGTAAGCTATAAGTTAATTATTATATTTTTTGGAAAATATCATACAGGGTGTTTTCTATGTCCCGTTGAAAATAGCGATTTTAAAAATTTAAAATCTTGTTTTTCTTCAATGGAACACCCTATATATTTTTGCATAATTGGATAGAATAAGTAATTACCTTTCATTTTATATATATATGTCCTATACCTAAACCTAACAGAAAAAAAAATATTCGCATTTTTCACAATTAGTAGCTTTTTTCCAATTACCTTAGTTAAATTTTCATTATTCAAATAAAAAAAATTCAATAACAACCAATAAAAATGCTTTTATATATAAATATATATTACTATAATAATTACCATACGCGCAAAGCTACTAATTTTGTAAAATGCGAATATTTTTTTTAGGTGATCCACGTAAGGTGACCCATATACTTATCTCAGAAACTACTGGAGTCACAAAAAATTTGTAACAAACAAATATTCACGAAGTAAAAAATATTTTTAAAATATTATATTTTCATTTATACAGGGTGTTCGGTTTTCCTTGGGACGATACCAACTTTCTTATTTTCAATGGAACACCCTGTATTTTTTGCATTTTTGTATTCTACACACTCTTTTAGGTATACTTTGTAAATATATTAATTAAGAAAATGTTAATACTTTTTGAGTAAAATGAGTATTTATTAAAATTTCTCTAAATGTAGACATTCGCTAAAAGTTAAAAATAACCAACTAAAAGTTATTATTTTTTATATTATGTAGCATTCATCTCTTTAATAATAAGTAAGCTATAAGTTAATTAATTTATTTTTTGGAAAATATTATACAGGGTGTTTTCTTTGAATAATGAAAATTTAACTAAGGTAATTGGAAAAAAGCTACTAATTGTGAAAAATGCGAATATTTTTTTTTCTGTTAGGTTTAGGTATGGGACATATATATATAAAATGAAAGGTAATTACTTATTCTATCCAATTATGCAAAAATATATAGGGTGTTCCATTGAAGAAAAACAAGATTTTAAACTTTTAAAATCGCTATTTTCAACGGGACATAGAAAACACCCTGTATGATATTTTCCAAAAAATATAATAATTAACTTATAGCTTACTTATTATTAAAGAGATGGATACTACATAATATAAAAAATAATAACTTTTAGTTGATTATTTTTAACTTTTAGCGAGTGTCTACATTTAGAGAAATTTTAATAAATCTTAATTTTACTCAAAAAGTATTAACTTTTTCTTAATTAATATATTTAAAAAGTATACCTAAAAGAGTGGGTAGAATCCAAAAATGCAAAAAAATACAGGGTGTTCCATTGAAAATAAGAAAGTTGGTATCGTCCCAAGGAAAACCGAACACCCTGTATAAATGAAAATATAATATTTTAAAAATATTTTTTACTTCGTGAATATTTGTTTCTTACAAATTTTTTGTGACTCCAGTAGTTTCTGAGATAAGTATATGGGTCACCTTACGTGGACCACCCTGTACTTCTTTTTAGTATTTTATTATAAATCTTTACTGAAAATATAAACTGCTTCTTGACAAAAACTAGATTATCTGCATTTCTAGTGGAATACAAATTAATTTCAAACAGTTTTATAGATTTTTTTAACATAGCACACACAGTTTAATATACTTACAATACAATACAGTGTTAAGTTAAAATTTTAATTTAAATATAAAAAGGGTCGACACGATGTTTTTAAACTAAAATTAAAAATCTGCGAATATTGTTGTATTAATAAATACATACTGTATATGTATTGATGTAAAGTATTCAATGTAAACATGTGTATATAAGAAAACCCCTAATGAAAAGTATTTTTTAATATTCTTTAAAAGCTACACAGATATTTTTATAATTTTAAAATTAAAAAAACATACGGGAAGTTTATTTTAAATTATCTATGAAACCAAAATTGGCTATGACTTTAGCCCCATTAAAGTTAGTTTTACCCACATTTTTAATTTCGACTGATAAGGCGATAATTTCAATTTTATTATGACGAGTTATAAAATAAATATGAAATGGTACTTACATTTTTATTGACTTTTTGTAATAAAATTGATAAATATTTTTTTACTATTTAAAATTAAATTGTTATGTATTATTCCTTATACAGGGTGATTTATTAAATAATAAAAAACGTACTATTAACTAATTTATGGAAACACTTTGTTTCCAAAATAACGAGTTTTGTAATTTTTTTTAATATGTTATTTTTTATAATATCTAAAAACCCTTATTCAAATTTTATTAAAACTTCGAGTGTTTGCTTTTATTCTTCTGCCTTTGATGTTTTTGGATTTAATTTATTTATTCTAGTGGCATCTTAGCTCTTATTTTTCAGAAAAAAATTAACATACCACTAACCTTACTTTGTTCTAAATTATTTTTACAGTCTAGAAGGTTTTTTGATTCTAGATTAATTATATTTTTACAATGGACATTATATGTCTTCTTCATATTTTATATTGTAAACTTCTTTTTTTTATTGGTCAGAAAATATTTTGCATAGGTTGCTACTAATGTTTTTTGTATAGCTTTTAACAATGTTAAGACCGCTAATACATCGCACAGTGGCCAATTTCCCGAAAAAACTGGCCAAAATTCTGAAACTTTGTGCACTGTGTTTTTTTCAAAAATGACAAAATTTTTTCAAAATTCAAAATGGCTGACACAAAATGGCGGACGTGTACCGAAAAAAGTCGGATTAACTAACGCGATTCCATCAAAAAGTGTATGAGGCTTTTATGAGTCGCTCATTCCAAATTTGATGATATTTTTCTTTAACTCAAAATGGCTGACACAAAATGGCGGACGTGTACTGCAAAAATTAAATTGTGTGGTCCATATATATAAAAAAAAATTATTTTCTCGAGTCGCTTTTATTCCGAATTAAATAATATTATTACGAAAATATATTTATGGTTATGTATTATATTGAATGTTATACATTATCATAAAAAACATAAATGATTCGTTTGATCAGTTTTATTATTATAAACAAGACAATTTAAATTTTTAATAAGTTTACGATTTCAATACAAACTTATTCACTATCAAAAGCCCAATAATATTCTGAATCTGAGGTAACATTGGTATCCGATAGGAACTCGACACATTAAACCCATTTTAAATTTTAAATTTCACAGTTTTAATGATGGAATTAATACACCTTCAGAATTTAAAACATTTTTTTATACTCTTATAAGAGTAAATTATAAATTATGTTTGTTTATTATTTATTTATTTATGCTTTTAATAAAAAGAATTTGTATTTTGGTATGTATTTGTATCTTTGTATGTATTTACTTATTTTTAAAATTGGTGCCTTTTCCCTTTTAAAAAAACGGATACTGGCGGATAATTTCAGAAGCCTGGGTGGATAAATTTAATATATGACATTGCAATGTCCAATGCATTGGTAACACTGCTGTTATTAGGCTAATATTTAAGACATTTAACAATTATACTATGCTTTATTTTTCCTGGGCTGCAATAATCAAATTATTTTAGAGAAAAATCATAAAAAACGCTTTCACTCTATTATCCACCCAGGTCCCCCACAGTTAGCAGAGCTATTTAATCACTCAGTGAAAGACGGCCAAATTCATGAAAAATTCGAAAATGAAGATGCAGTACAAAGGGCTACTACCATCTTTGGCGATCCGGGAGGTCATGGATGAAGAACACATACTATTGTAAAAAAATGTTTTTTTCCAGATGTGAAAAAAAACATGAAAAAAAAACCTAGAAAAAAAAACGGTTTTTTTTGTTTTTTTTTTCAAAATGAAATTTTGAGTAAAATGTATATTAATAATAAAGTAAAATGTAGAATATATTACATTTTTCATTATTGAAAATTTTGCCTGAGACTAAAAAATCTGATTTCTTATTATTTGGTAGTTTCCACATTAGAAACCAATAGCAATGTAAAACTTCTACACTAATACAAAAAATTAAAGGATAGCTGTATCTTTGTTAAAAATGGTCGTATTGGAGCCGTAAAAAAAGCAATTTGAAGCTTGAAGTTTCTAGTTTTGAGATTTTTAGATGACAAACGTGCAACGCTCAGTCCTAACGAATACCGTAATAAAAAAAAATTGGCTTTCTGGCCCACAGAATGTTCTGACTAAACATCCAATGAATAAATTTTCTACAAGAATTTGCTATTGTTTAAAAAAAATAATTGAAAAATCATGAAAAAAGTGCTTTTGGGAGCTTTTTGAAAAATCAAGCGCTGAATCAAAAATATTAGATGTAGTTACTTTTTTTAGGACCAAATCAAAACAAGCGCGACCCTTATTGGTCAATTTGGAGGTGGTGGCGCGTGCATAGCGTGAGATTATATTTACTAATTGTCATTTAGTGACTAATTTTAGTCCATGAACTGGACTGGAAACTTGAAAAATTAGGCAAATGGGACTAATCTTGAAAAAAACCTAAAATGTGAAAAAAAAAAACCATTTGAAAAAAAACAATGAAAAAAAACCTGAAAAAAAAACAAAAAAAACAGACCGTTTTTTTTTCAAGTCGCATCTCTAGTAATTAGCTACCCTTGTATATGTAAATTCTATGTTTAATCTGTGATATTTGAATTCGTAAATAAATGTTTTTGACTTTTGACTTTGGTAACACTGCTGCACAGCCAGCCGTGCTGCCACTCGAAAACTGCGACACAAAAACTGACGCCAAAAAGGCAGAGGTGCCTCGTGGCACAAAATCCTGCCAAACATGAATAGATAGACCCCTGAAAACAACTGGTAGACCGCTCATCTCTATCACTCTCATAACTTTTTACTATGGTTTCAATAATAAGTTGACTGAAAAAAGATATCCGGGCACGTTTATGTTTGACGTCAGTTTATTAAAAGAAAAATCATTTTTAATGACAAACAATTGATTAATAATGTTATACATACCTTTTTTAACACCTTTGATCAAACTGTAGTCAGAAACTTCAATCGGAAAAACTCTACTGGCACTTTAAAAGCTCATTCACTGCGCGAAATTCTAGACTCGAGACACGTTTCAGCTCCGTCATTTCTGACCTGCGGTAGCTTTAAATACATATAAACGAACTGACTCAAATTAATAATATTTGAAAATTTGTACCTTTTTTTTCAATTTTGGCCAGTTTTTTGGGGTAAATTGGCTACTGTGCTTCGCGAGTTTTTGGCTCATCCCACGGAGAAGTAAATTGTAATTATTTTTTGTCAAATGGGTTTTTTTTAATCCATTTACCATCGACAAATGGCAACAAAATTATGTACTTAATTTTTTATATGCATATATGAATATTATAAATTAAACCTTTATATACTTTTTATTATACTATTTATTTGACCTATAGGTAGGTTGATATCCATTAAATAAATTTTACCTCTTTACCGTCTTCGTTTTAAAAATTAAATGTTTTTTTTTGGAAAACTAGTTTTATACCCGGATATTTTTTTTTTAATTAAAAGAAAACAATTTGATTGCATATTTTTGCAAACAATCTTGTTACGCCATCTTCATACATATTTTAATACAAAATCCATTTTTACGTCATTTAAAAATTAGCAAATACCTATTGGAAAGTTCATGTCTACTCATCACCCGCTGACAAAAGTGTTCATAACTTTTATGTAGAATTTTTTACAAAAAGTCTCGTAACACTTTTTACCCATCATAAAGGAATATAACTGAATTATTATTATTATTATTATTATTATTATTATTATTATTATTATTATTAATATTATTATTATTATTATTATTATTATTAATGTTTAAAAATGCAAATCTCAAATCTTTATCAAAAGAATTCTTAATTTTTTTAGCAAAAAAATTCTTTACACTTTTGAAGCATGTGAAAAATTCACACATCTTAAAATTATAAAAATTGTAAAATAAAACATATTAGCTCTACTGTTATTTTTAGGGGTTTTCAGATATTAAAAAAAAAATCAGGTTAATTATTTTATTTAAAAAAAGAGTCTTCGAAAACTAGTTAATAGTTTTTTTTCTAATTTTTAAACAAGAAATATTATCCTAATTTTTTTGGTATGAAAGATTTTCCTTTTGATGTTTAAATAATCAGTTAGGTATAATATTAAATATAACTTATATTTCTTTCTTTTGGGAGCCCCCGAAGATGGTTAATTATTATAATTTTTTAAACGGTTTGTAATAAAATAAATTATTTTCGGGAAATATATGTACCTTTTAATTAATATTTATTTTAAAGTTAAATTTTTATTAAATTTAAAAAAAACTGTTTTTAAAATATGTTATTTTATTTTTATTCAAAAATGGTGCATTTTATCGATGTTTACCTCTTTTATGTAAAAAACTCTTACTTTTATATTCTGCAGCCAACTTGCAAGAAAAAATTCACACAAAAATTTGAGGCTAAAAATACCCTAGGCCCCTCCTGTTTAATACACTCATAAAAAAAATTATAAATTTTTAAATTAAGCATATAAAGTTAATTAAGCACAGAACAATTTCACACTCATAAATAAAAATTATAACTTTTGTTGTAATTTTTAAATCAAGCATAAAAAGTTAAGTAAGCACACAAAATTTTATTATTTTATCTCAAACTGTTTCAGTAATAATAAAAAACATGTTTAGGGGTGCCCCTTTAAGAGGTTGCAGCTCCCTTAGGGGCAATTCTTATGAGATTTTTTCTATTTTTGTCTTTCGAAACCAAGTATTGCAAACTATTTTCTGGACACCCTGTATATGTGTTATTTATTAAAAAAAAATTTAAAAGATATATTTATGAAATGAATTAATAGTTTTTTTCTTATTTTTATGCAAGAAATCTTCTAATTTTTTCAACCTGTGGGCATTAAACACTTTCCTTTTAATGTTTAAATTGTCAATTAACATATAACTTATACCAACTAAAAAACCGATTTATTTATCAATAAAGGATTACCTGGATATAAATGTTTATTTAAAAAATTAAAAAAAATATTTAAAAAATGAAAAAATTGACAATATTTTCTTTAAGAAATAATATCTTTAGGAATACAAATTATATGTATATTTCTAAAAATATTCTTATTACCTTCTTGTAAAAGATTTTTTTATATCAATCTTCACATCTATAAAAAAATTTCCCGCGTATTATCATTGATTGTAAAGTCAGCAGAAAAAGTCAAAGCGAGTTAATAATACTCATTGATCCATGATATTCAAGAGGGATATACAAATTAATTACAAATTAATTTATTAAAATATATGACATAATTATGTCTTAGAATACATCAGTTTTGTAATAGTACAAATTTAAATAGTATTTTACGTAAGTAAGATAAATCCAAATGGATATTGCGAAAATGATTTTTTTAAATTAACAGTTTATATAAACGTAATAAATTCATATTACGGGTAAATTTTAATTTAAAAAATTGTATTCAAGTCCATTATTTTTAAATAATTTAACAAAAATATGCCGTCGGCAAAAATTAAATATTTTTTCATATAAAATTTTTTTTTGCCCATAATTAAACTTATATATTAAAAATATTAATAATATATTATTAATGTTTTTAATATACAGGGTGTCTCAAAAGTCAAGGAGAGCAGAAAAGGGGCGGATAGACATAAAAGTTCCAAAAACGTTGCCAAAACTAGTGTAACCACTTTCAAATAATACTTAAGTTTGTTTGGTTACCTTATCATTACAATCAACTTTAAAGTTTAGACAACTTTAAGCAAGTGTCAAAAGTGGTCATAGTGGTTCAGATACCACACTGATACACTAAAAAGTTAAAAACTATGAGGTATATTCTGCTGATGCAAATCACGATTACAACTATGCTAATATAATATAAAGATATTTCAACTGTATCCTGGTAGATTTAGTTATTTTAACGTAATTTTCACTTATTTGAAGTTGCAATATTAGTTTTTGTCACTATGATGCTACTTGGGAATGAACACCAATAAAAATAAACATTGACAACAGTTTCAATATACATTTTTTTGTTTCTAAACATGGATTTAGTATTTTTGCTGATGGAATTATTAAGAATAAATTTATTTTTAAACAAAATTTATCTTGTTGCTATTACATGTAAACTATGTCCAACTTTACTTAAATTAATTAATTAACGTAGTAAGCTTTTAGATGCATGTATTTAAATCAAATAAAGTGGACTTCTACATGTCGTGTTTTCTGCAGATATCCCTATTTAGGTTCTGGAATTGTGTGTTGGGTGGATTATAATACACGGAATAATATATAATATTAAATAATATAGCATTACGTTGCCAAAGTTATATTAAGTATAACACATAATATAGCACCGTTTTCCACTCAACGATAGCACTGCGTTGGTGGAATAGAGGAGAGTAAAAAAAATCTAAATTATTTTAAAAGAAAATTTAGATACAAATATAAAGTGAAATAAAAACTACGCCTTTCCCCATACATTTGGAACCTTTTTTATTTGTTTAAAAAATATCAAGAATGCATTTATGACTTTTAAATTAAAAACGCAATTAAAATTATAATTGTCAATAAAATAATAAAACATTTTTAATAAAAACTAACTATCTACTTTTCTTAATAAAACGCGTAATAATGTACCTACATATATTAATTACATTTATAAGTTACTTGCGATTTATGATGTTTTTAATCTTTTTTAATTAAAGGTGTACATTTGTTTTGCAACGTCTATAGACATAAAAAAAATAAAATATGAGAAAGGCTTAATTTATACGGGGAAATTTAAAAGCACTTTAATTGTATTCTGACATAAAATGTCAAACGGACAATTTAAAAAAAAATTTAAAACTTCTCAAAAACTAAAATGAATTTCTTTGAAATGTTAATTTTAAATAGTTTTTTTTGTACTAATATATTTAAATTAAAACGCGTATTAATACGCCATAATCTTACACTTTGACAAGCTGTGACTTTATGCTTTTTAGTCACGCTAAAGCTAAAACGGAGTTTTTGTCACCTTTAAAATAGACCCAGTTAGAAATTAATTAATTAATTCTGGTCTAGATCACTATAGTGATAACATATTATATCTAATTGTAAATTAACTGTGCTTAATAAATAAAAATTTAATTTGATAAAAAAAATTTTTTTAAGTTTAATGTTTTGGCAACCAATGAACAGATTTTAAATTTTAGAAATGCGTTAAATAGACAATCAAAATACTTTTTAAATAAGGTATTACAAGCCTCCCTTTTCATTTAGTTTATACTGCTTGTTACTCTTGTTAAGGAGTAAGTTAAATGTCCTTGGCAATGGTTTTCGTTTCGGCCTTTTTTCGTTCAAAAGATAACAGGACTTTTAAAGTTCCCACTATATATAAACATTGCACCTAACTAATTTATTGAAACACACCTAATTAACAAAACCTATAATGGGTGGATCAAAAACCAATCCATGTAATTTTTATTGCTATTTACCAATTTTGCTTTGTTTGCCATCACTCTTGTATATGAAGTTAAAATCATATTTGTATGCAAACAGTATTATGTATGTAAATGTGTTAATGCAAAATTATTAACACCATTAAATGAATTTTCCAGCAGGCAATTTGACTTAATATGACAATCATATTGCAACCAGTTTCTTGGTTATAATCCTTGAAAGATGCAGAAAATCGGAACATGGTTCAAGAGAAGTTAAGTTGCATAATTTATTGATTCTCGAAAAAATTTCATTACGCAACGATAAACACTAGGTCACTTCTTAAATTGGCTTCTTTTTTTCGATAATTGTCATTATCTTGTATTATTTATGCGTTTACCATCTCGGTAAAATTAGTGGCTGCAACTGAATTAAAATTTTTTTGTGCATCTGGGCTATTATAATAAATTATATTCAGGGCACAATTGTACCTACTTTACCATTTTAAATTAAAAAGTTACTTGGGCTTAAATTAAATTATTGATTTTTTAACGATATACAGATAAACTTTATTTATTTTAAGAAGTAGTGAAGCAAACAAAAGAGACTGTACTATAGTATACTTTATACTATATATAGTACAGTTAAACTGTATACAGTTTAACCCTTAACTACTCG